ACATAGAAGTTCTTCCACTCTGTAATTATAAATGTATGCAAAGCATGAAATTTTAGTATTTTACACACATCAATAAAGCATGGGAACACATGGTTAGAGCTGGGAAAAAAAACAGGTTACCAGTTTCACACCGGAGACAGAGAAAATGTTAAACAGCTTGTCATAGAAAGAAACTCAAGAATAAAGCAGTTTAATGCTACTAAAGTGAGAACCTCCCTTGGAACTGTATACAATTCACATAAACTTAGGTCTATAAAAGAACCATGTAAACAAGCTTTTCCCTAAGCATATGACTGAACAGAAGACAAAGTAAAAAAATGTATAAGAGCTTTCTGGCATGTGATAAATGGAGGTATGCATCACATTACACAAAGCAGGTTCCTAATGAAGTCTCTGCAAATTATAAGCATCTTGCCAGTAACACAATTTAAAAAAAAAACACTAATCATGCTATAAAATTTTATTCAACACATTTTTGATGGTTACAGCTATAATATGTTAAAAATCCAAAGGGCAGGCAAAAATGACATGGTCAAGTCTGCATATTATCATCCCAATGTGTTAACAATGATATTATAATACTAAGGGGACATCTCTCCTTTATATGGATTTAATATCATGATCACAACAAAGAATCTAACCACACATCCAAATCAATATACCAGTTCCTCCATAAGATGCTTGTACAAATGGAAATTAATGTTATATCAGTAGCAGATTTCTCCCACAGACTTCTGTGCATTTAGTGTGCTTGAACATGCCTTGAAAAACTGTTGTCTATGCATGACTGTTGTACTTTGGAAAGCATGTAAAGAGGATGGGGCTACACAACAAACTGAGAATACCCCTCTCTGCATTTCTGTCTTACAGCACCAAAGCTTGGTTGATCTGCATAAACTAGACAGCAATATATGGTTGTTCCTAAAAGATTTCCGAAACATCAAAAAATTATTTTTTTCAAAATGTTTTAAACCCCAATAATAAATTGAATGTACACAACTCTATATACACAATTTTTTGCTACTGTTGTGATATGACTGATGTAAAAACTCTCCCGAAATTACAACTGCTTCTGACTAACCAAGACATCTGAAAAACACAGAGTTGTTCACAACAAGTAACTACATACACATCAAAACTGATTTCCAAAGTACAGTCTGCAAACTACGCTATTGGTTAATTTAAGAGTTTGGGTTACAAAAATCTTAAAAATTAAAGAAGGTTGTCTGTATTTCATGTTAACGTCTAATAATTATCAGTACTTCTAATTTTCCCATCTTATAATTTTCTTGCTAATTCACAAATTAAACCTCCAAAAACCAACTTTAAAATTAACATGTAATCAGAGGTTAACAGTACTTGTTAATTAAACTTATTTGTTAATTATTAACCCCTTTGATAATAATATGAGTTTCTTATGTACCCGTACTTTACAGTGGGCAACATTTTATACTAGCAGGGGCATATTTTGGCTAAATACCTAACAATACTTAATAATTAGGTTATTTTGTCTGCATATCACAGATATGATACCTAAAAAAAAAAAATCAAGAAATGCATTCATAACTCGTGTTGATTTCCAATGGTCAACTTAATCTCAGTCTAAATTAAGTTTGTTCTCACATTTTATCCGTTATTACAAAAAATAATACTGAAATAAAACTAAGAAAGTTAAAAGTTTTTTTGGTTTGCCAATATATTCATTGCTGCTAGATTTGTAGCAAATGGAATTTTGCAAAGATAATACTGAACTTCTGTGAGTTTTGAATGATATCAGATACTTATAGAAAATATATTTTTTGTTATTAAAACTCTAATCTTCTCATTATCAGAATCACAAGTCAGTAATTTACCCTCCAATAGTTTTCTAATAAACTAGTAATTACTTTACGTTGTACAAGGTAGGTCTGGTGGTAGATATACAAGATTATTGGAGCAAAAGACCAATAGAATAGATAAAGCCTCAAATGCACAGAGTAGCAAAGTATTTATAAAATCACTACCTAGCCAGTGAAGCAACAAAAGAAACATTACATTTCACTAAAACAAAACATATTTCAATGACTCATAATACCCACACAGAACATGTCTAAAAACAGATAACCTAAAATAATAATAATACATCATATGAAAAATTACCTCTAGATAAAGATGGAGTAAATTTGATCTCTTTTTCACCAACTTAGAGATTATAAACATTTCTCATGTAAAACTTAAATTCAACATTCTTGTTTCTTGTAACTATCTTTCATTAAAGAAAAACGTGTTTTACTTGCCACAAACAATTCTTTTGCCTTTCCATATTTAAAATTATATTAGCATTGCATGTTAACTCTATGGTGCCCAGCATCATTTTTAAATTCCTTCCGCATATGGTACTGTGTAACATTCCAAATTTAATTAAACCACTTTACTATCAATATATATCAATGAAATTACCATTATTAATGTGTTATAATCTAACTTTTTTCTGTTATCTAAGTTTTAATTGATTTGTTTCAAAAGAAAGTTCTCAAAATATACTTAAACTCCAGCTTTGGTGTCATGTGATCCACCCAGCATGAAAAATCTCAACTTTAGCAGCGATTCACTCTTAAGCCACATAAGCTAGCAATGTACATGAATATCTAAACAGTAAATATGGTGTGTTTGATCTAGTTGACATGCAGTTCGGTTGTCTGGGAAACAGATAGAAATTTTCCAACCCTTGATGGGTGCTACATCCAACTTTTATACTTTGCCTTGATATCTACAATGTACATGTAGGTAGTTGACACAAGCATAAATAGTTGTTAGAAAGAACTAAGTTTGCACTGTGCTCCACCAATGATTAATTTCAAATTGGTGCACAGTTTTTATATTGTAGTAGATGTAACTGCCGTTAGTATTGTTGGTTGCTTGATTGACTATAGTATTTACAGTGGTTTCTTACCTAAATATACTATAGTTAGAAAGACAGCTAAATTGTATTTAGGTCTTACTTTCATAATTTAGTTAATTATGTATTATGTGTGTTTTAAATTACTTCATAAAGCCTCACAGGCATCAGTTGATGTATCAGCATAAATTATGAAAGACAAAGAATTTGAAAGGAAAATAAACTATAAGTGAAAAGACAAAGATGTGAAATTATGCATATGAGACAAAGAAGACTATTCTAGTGAATTTCTATGAAGAGTTGAAAGGTATGTACATATATATATTTCTTAATTTTAAACATTTCATTGTACTGTATATTAATGATAATAGTTAGTGATATAGAAGAGAAAATGGAAAATAAAATATAAACATTTACCTTAAAAAACGTTTGATATTTACTTATGAGGTACTAGAGATTATGCAAATGAAATGTGAAAACTGTAAGATAAAAAATAGTATTTTTATACTTCACATAAAAATCACCTTGAAGGTGAACTATTTAGAGTTCAAGTGCAAATAACTACATGAAATAATGAATTTTTATTAATAATAGTATAAAAAATAAAAATTTTAATCTTTTGAAACTACATACTTTTAGAAAAGTTATTGTCAAGTTTCAAACAATTTCACCCACTAGTTTTATTTTTACAACGAAATATGATGAGAGCAATGTTACCTTCTCTCTGATAGAGTAGCCAGGTACCATCAGCTTAAGCTACAAGAAATACATATATCAACCTTTCTGTATCAGTAGGATGCCACTGACATCCACTGATTGTTTAACTTCTAATAGTGTAAATACTTAACCAACTTCCATGAAACTTAGTATAAACATACAAATTAGTATCTAGTTTCATCTTCCAAAAAACTATATCAACTGATTTACTTTTTTAAATAAATTTTTTGTTGTAAAACATACTTACATCTTAGAGTTGTAATATTTTTTTTCTTGATTAGCAATTTCTATGTTTATATATCCACTCAGTTTCAAAACTGATTGATATTCATGCACATATTTTTTATACTTTATTTTGATGATTGTAGTAATCACTACTTCTGCCCAGAAATCTTTAAAAAAAATCAAGGTAAATATTAAGAGATGTATTGAAGACCTAGGACATCACCTTTCAAAATAGTGTTATTTGTATTTATGACACAAATCACATACATATCTCAGATTTGTAAACTGGAGCATGTAGTGTTAAATAATTTTTGTTTTGTTAACAACAACAGAAAATAAAGTCAATAAATCTGAACTTCTTGGATGACACAACTATCAATACAAATAATGTGTATTCATGAATGCATCTCTAGGATTCAACTAGTTTCCTATTTCCTATTCTCAAAATTCAGCAGGTTTTCATTAGTCTGTTATTATTGTTTTAAAAGATGGGTAATTTGAAATCTTTTTTAGAAGTACAAAATACTATGCAAGTAAGTCTGTTTGTCAAATGATCACCTTTTACATACACAAATGAATAGTTATATTTTTTTTATCAAACTTATTAAAACAGTTTAACTTCATTCATCCTAAATTTGAATATATGTTTTCACTATCTATCAACTAAAAAACACATCAACACACACATATATATGTACTGCATTATTTTTGCCTAAGATTTATTCACTTGGACTCGCTATAACAAATCTGCTATTTTATGCCAACACTAAAATAACATACTAAAAATGGAAAGATATTTTTACATTGATAAAACTGATATGCTTGCCAAAGTCCTTCAAAAGAAAAAGATGTTATATCTGAATATTTTTTATGTTAATTCATTCTGGTGAATTTCAAGAAATATGTCATATAATATTGTATTATTACATAGTCATAAGCAGTTCCTGTTTTGAAAATGTATAAATATTATGTCCACGTGTTGCCACAAACATACACACAAAAGAATAAGTAGCCAACAAGTTGCTGAGAAGAAATATTTCTCTTACTGGTTAAGAATAAAGACAAAACATATACGAGAGCTGAAAGCAAACATGCCTAGTAAAGCCCAAGTTGAAGTCCCCAGGTCTCATAACTGAGGGGTTAGTGTAAGAAAGCAAGATACGAGAAACACAAGACTTACATGAGAGAGAGAAAATGTCACTATCGGGTGTTAGTGCACTGAACTGGAGAGATCCCGCAAGATAAGGTGGTTGCTGCTGCTGAGGGAGTAGTTGTGACTGTTGCAGAGCCTGCAGTTGTTGCTTCCTGCGCCTTGAGCGGAATGACCGCTTATGTTTGTATTTAGGACGGGGGGTGCTTTTGAAGAAAGGCTCCTCATCATCTGACAAGTCACTGTCATCTGAGGGGGACTTCCCCCCTCTTCCACGTACTGTAAACATAGTCATGCATTGAAGCACTTTAATCTGTTTTTCTCTCTCTAAGTACAGTCACTTTTTAAAAATCCTGGATCTTATAGTCTGAATAAAAACACAAAAAAACTACCTACCGTAAAGAGAGCATGACTTTTAAAATTAAGAACTAACTAAAATATCTAACAATTCCAGCCCCAGACTAAATTAACTTAAGCTGAAAATCAAAATGGGTTTTACTTCCAAGCTAAGAATAAGTGCTAGAGCTGATCCTTTTGATTTTATGTTGTTTTTTTTCATTGAAATACTCAAGAGCTTCCATATATGACAAAAAGTCTGGACTACAATTTTCCTTGAAGTTTATATGAGGGTACAACAAGGGAGTTGCATATTTTATGCATTTCTTGGCAAATTATATAAACAGAAACACTAAGCGCCTTACTAATTAAAACTGATGACTTCTGAATTTTCTCAAAAGAAACAATGTATCAGTAAATCTGTACAACTCAGTTCTTGATTGATTGTTTTCAAAAATGTCTCATTTGTTTTTAAGTGAAGGTGCAGTCTGCAAGTTTATTGTCTGGGGCTGAAAATGTCATTCAAAAGTACTAACTCAATATCTGAATAAATTACACAAACAATAGTCCTCAGTGCCCAATTGGTACTCATCCAAAAATGAAGTGACAGTACAAGTTAACCAACTAAGTTCTACGTGTGTTTTGACTCTACTACAACAGGACAGTGATTTGTCTTTGAGAGGTGTAGGAAATCCATACTTTATTTTGAAGATGTAAAGATGCTCACTTTTCCAATTCACATAGCAAAACATCTAGACCAATACTTCTTGAATCTTGTGGCTCAAAATTTTAATACACTAAACTTTAAAACCTCAAAAATAAGATTATTTTGTTGTCATATAGAATATCACAAACTAGGTCAGCTTGACACTTGCTTTCCACAACTAGAAACAACTCAGCTAGACAAAACCCAAAGTAACAGTGGAAAAATCTGACACCAGTTTAAACAAGTATGCTTGATAATCTTGTAGCCTAAACTTAAAATGGGGAGCCTTGTGACCACAGGTCAAGATTGAATTCACACACAATTATCTTACATGATAAATTGAAAAATCAAATCAAAGAAAATGGCCACACCTTCTGAAGGAATCATTACATCAGTTTTCAGAGCAAAACTAAAAGTTCTATAGTCAATAGCACATAAAGGCTTTATAAGTTCAAATACCAAATTGTGTTTCTTAAAACAAATAGTTTAAAAATAAATCTTCAATTTCTATAGGTAGTAATCAAATAATAACACAGCTTATATACAAAATAACTTCATAATATTAAATTGTATATGAAAGATTATATTTAAAAGATATGACAAATATCTTCTTATACTACACATACATATTTGATAATTTATGCACATTCTCAAAACTTGCCAAAATAAATTGTGCAAAATCAAAGGCCAATAAAGCATGCAAAAAAAAATTAAGACCAGCATGTGAGAAGTATACAGTAAATATGTTCTAGTATAATACCTAAGAAGAGGTGATAATTTCATACTTGAATGTCTTGGATCATAGAGTACGAACTTCTGTTTAAAGAGAGATTAAAATATGTATACATATACAAAAAGGCCAATTGCAGTTTAAATCATTATAAGGCATTACTGATACTAAATGCCATTAATAACATAGAGAAGCAATTAAGTAAAAATCAGTGGTAATTAAAAATGACAACTTTCAGTTTGAAACTGTCTTTATGTCAGCAAAGATCACTGTTCTAGGTATTAGCAAACTTTTGCAATATAATATTAGCAGGTTTTATAATAATATGGACATGCTTTTTCTCAAGTCTAATATTTAGACTTCATACCATAATATTAAGTCTCAAAGAAATTATTATATCAAGACTAATTTGATGTAATTTGGATTTAAAGTTATCTAATTTGACAACATCCCAGGCAAGTAGCTTAGGTAGTTTACCAGTTTACAAAAAACTTTGGATTAAAACAATTACAAAGACTTTAAAAGTCCTCACATCAGCAACTAAGCCCACCCAAATGTTGTGTGAGTTTTCATTAAAGTCAATACATATTATTCTCTTCTGAACTTCAAACTGGTTTCAGAGGGGAAGTCTAATTATGCTGGTTAAAATAAAAAATAAATCAAACTTAAGACAAAAACCAAAACTCAAGCTGATATCAACCAAGATGTGCATGCAACTGGAACAGGGCAAAAGGGGATAAACAATCTACACAGCCTTGTGTGCTACCTTTATTTAGTGGGTTGAGGGACTTGGTGCCCATCATCCTCTCTCCCCCAGGAAGAGGGGGAAGTGGGGGAGCTGGTCCCTCAAAAGATGGAACACGAGGTGGGGCAACAGGAACACCACGCTTTTTGCGCATTTTCTTGTAAGGAGTAGATTTACGGTTCACTCGACTATGAACATCTCTGTGCATTCGCTCTAGAGAACTCCAATCACTGTCTGAGTCAGAGCCAGCTGTTGGGAAAAAAGCTTCCATTTTTAAAAATAAGAATTTTTGATTAATAGTTATAGCTCTTTATTAAACAATTTTCTATGCATCAGCTTCATGTTTAATATACAATAAAATCAGGTTATCTACTGAAGCCATTTTTCCTATACATTTGAAATTACCACTCAAATGCTCAAGTCTCAAAATAAGTACCACTAATTTTTCACCTAAACTTTTAGCCTACCCCTCTTTACAATATGAACACTGGTCAGAACTTCATCAAAACGTTTTTGTAACAGTAATAAACTATAAATATCCAAGGAAAAAAAAATTGAAATGATATTAAACATTATTAAACTTCTGTAAATGGTATATAAACTAACTAGTTTTTCTCAGTAGGAACACTTTCATCCTACATCACAAGGACCTGACTTGGTTTAGCATGCTGTCAAGTACAGCTCTATGAATATAGTATAAACACACTCATTATAGGTAACACATAATTGAGACAGGTTTCAAAAACCTTATGCAACATTTACTTTTTATTCAACAATAATCTACTTATACTGACAAAAACAAATGGCAAACGAAGATGTGACAGCAGCAGTGTTTGTTCAGTTTCAGAAAACTGATATTTGTATATTCCACCTTACTACAGACTAATGTTCTTACCTCTTTCAAAAGCTTCTTTATTCCCATGTCTGCGTCCCAAGGATCTGACTCGGTGAGGCTTGCTGTCAGGTAAAGCATTGTGAACTACAGCATAAGCATATTCACTAGAATCTGTAGCACACAAGGGTACAGTGTCCTATCATAAAATGGAAAGTCAAACATCACCTGGTAAACAAACTATCTGTCAAAACACATATTATTATCTATATATTTTTTTTACACTTTATGAAAAAAACTGCTGAAACTCTGTTTTACTATATGAAACACCTTGTTTCTTGAAAATAATTTCTGATAAGGGTATTCTAGACTTCCAAATTTAATAAACTGAAGAAGATTCAACACCACAAAAAATACTGACCAAAATACAACCAGGTAGGTAAAGTCTAAAATAAACTCTTTAAAAAGTTTAAATAGTAATATATAAAGCTTTAAAAACCATCAATATAAGCCACTTAAAAACTAAAACATAAACCAGATAACTGAAAAAAACTAAAGCTGTAAAAATATATTAATGTACATAAATTGTTATTTCTATATTTATGATTTTTACAACATAATTTTTTCACACAAACTTTCTCCCTTTAAATCAATTTTACTAAGAGATATTTACTTCAATAGCGTAAACTTTGATTTAAACATTTTTAGACTGAACTGTTTTAAAAAAAACACTAGTTTTGAACTTACTGACACTTTAAAATACTGGCTATATATGCAGCTATGTTGCACAAACTATGAGGTGGAAACCAGTAACAATTAAGTTCTGGCATACTAAAAATAATACTAAAGAAATACTTTACCTTTAAAACATATTGTTACTTACTACCACAGCTCTTTCACATTATAATAATTTAAATACAAAATTTATGCAGAAATATAATGAAATCAAATATCCTAATAAATATACTTTCATCTCTGTTAAACATGTGCTACAAAGTTTTATGAGATCAAAAATGTTACTTACTTCATATATTGCTTTACATGGTGTAAATATAACTTGCACTGCATCAACAAATCATTAACAAAAAAATGATATAAAATAATAAAATTAAAACTCACATTAATGTTTATTTAAAAAAATCTACACAGCCAACCCCATGTTAGAAATCCTAATATGCTCATTTTTTTAAAATATGAAACATGGGGGGGGGGGGGGATTTATTTTCATACATTTCTTTTAAACAATTTACCCCATACTGCTGTGTTCCTATAGCATGCATATAAATGGACTGACTATACTGGTCATCTTAAAAGCAATAAATCTGTATTTTGGAACACCCAAATTGTATCATCCTGTAGCAAAATTCTAGAATTTTATTAAGTTGGTAACAGCTCTTAAAGGTCAAAATCATAATAAAATCTAAAGTTTCTCTAGGAAGCATGAATAATACTAACCCACATATTTTTCTCTCAAAACAAATCAAGAAGAAATCCTAAGAAATTTGACTACCATCCTTTTTTGATGACTAAGGACCAACAGATGCAGATATGGACCTACCTTGACTTGTGCATAATCACTAGCTAAATCTATGCTCTCTGGGGTAGCTAAGGGGGCAGGTAACATGCCAACCTTGGTATGCGAGCTTCCACCTCTCTGAGCAGTCAGGTTAAACTTTGCAATAGCATCAGTAATGTTATTGAACTGCTGAAGGTTTAACTTTCCTGGCTAGGGAAATAAAATAAAAAGTATGCATCAAAACAAAATACTTAATTTTGGATAATACATTACTGAATTAAAATTATCCATACAAAAAATATATGCTAGTGCAAATATGTGAATTAGAAGTATACAAATAAAAACTTGTTCATATTAAACTTGTTTCTTGCTCTTCTACCAAGGAATATACATGAAAAAACAAACATATTTAGTGACATACATTAATAATAAATTTGTTTAATTTAACTTTCTGTAGAAAGGTCATGTCATACACACTTTGATCCCTGCTGTACACACACTCAATGAACTGCAGATGAGAATGATAGCAAACCAAACTGCTTCAATTAAATGCCACAAAATCCAGAAAAATATTTTAATCTGCTCATTGTTTAGTTTTCTAGAATTATTAGTTGTTTAATCTAAAGATTTGTGTGCACCTTTTGTTTTCAAGATTAATATATGTCCAATTTTATACTGTACAGTCATTGCGAGTCCAGCATTGTAAATAGAAATGGAACTCTGAATGAAATAAATATAACCTTCTTCTGGAGTTTATTATCATTTACTGTTTGAATATATACCATTAGATTTATTTACATATTATTCCATCTCATGACCCCTGTTTAGAAAATGATAATGATACAGGAATGTTTTGTTTTTAACAACATCAATACACAATTTCAAGAATATCAAAAGAACTATTTCAGATCATTGACCTTTTCGATCTGAGAATGAAACTAGTATCACTAAACAATTTTGGAACATTTGGGAATTTAAAGCTTTAGATCTTGCAATCTAATAGAACTAAATAGACAATCCAATAAATGTGATATCACTTGAATGTCCACGTTCAACTGCTTGATAAGTGAATTGGCAATCTGTTTAGGAGCAACACCAAACTTTTCTTCAACAAAGATATGATAAAAGGTTTATGGCAAGAAAAAAAATTTTTAGGTTAAAAAATAAGTTATGAGTAGTTCATAACTGGCAAATGAGTGCATGTTGTGAGAAAGATTTTTAAGACATTCATCATGATTTGCATCTACAATTTTTAAAATGATATTTTATTTACCTTTGCTTACTTTACTTTAAAAAAAAATGAATAAAAAACAAACCTGAAAACTGATAAACTCAGCTCTATAATGCTTTCTATAGTCTTATGACATTCCAATGTCTTTATATTCTCAAAAATATTCATGCATTAGATTAAACAAGTCTTGCATACCTAAAACTAGAAATTTTATGAAAACTTGCACATTACAGTTTGAAAATGCAGGTGTTGGAGCCTCAGTAACAAGTCAATGCTACCAGTACGTAAAATAAATAAAAACAAGAAAAATGCATATTTCCAATGGTAGAAAATTTCACTTGTTAAAAAATACATATAGGTTGTTGATTATAATATGACATAAAACTTACCTTTTGTTTCCCTGGCTTAGGTTTAAGAGGTGGTGGAGTCTTGTGATGTCTAGAATGATACGTGTGATACACCTCATTATCAAGCCATTCCCGTGCTCTTAATTCCTGTTCAAATATCCTGTTGTCTATCCAACCTGAAATTTCCATCAACATGAATGTAATATTAATATACCAAAATAAAATTCTTCTCAATACAAAAGTTACTTTCACATACTTACTTATTCTCTGATGAAAGCATTTTGAAAATTTATAGTAATCATTTTGTTATACAGTATGCATTCATTGGGTATGTGGCAAATTAATGATGAAGTGTATACTGGCCTTATTATGCTGTACTTGTTATATTGAGCAAGAAAGACTAAATGAAAGGGCATCTGAGATATACATACAAACTACATATACAGTCACATGCATATTAATCATAAAGACACAATATAAATTAAAAGATATGTAATGTAAACAGGATATGTGGTTTGTGAACATATTAATAATGGGTGATACAATTTAAAGCCAAGCATAGAAATATGCACAAGAAGAAATTCAGGCCTATATGGCTATGAAGAACACCTAGTTGTAGCATTATAAAAAATCATGCATGTGTCTAAACTTTTGAAATATTCTTTTATTCAAAATATTGACACCCATATTTAAAAAACCTAAGTGCTAAAATGTTTCACATCTAAAACTAAACAATTGAGCACAAATCAAGTCCGTTAGAATGAAAATATTTTGTAACAAATGTTAAAATAATTTTATTTTTCATCTATAGAACTAGACAATTTAATTGACTGATCGATTACCTATGAGTAGCCATTACATCAATTACTGTCACGTAAACTAACTGTTTAATCAAAATTATGATTAAATTGATAGTCTGTATTGTAGTTCAAGTTTGTGATTCAGTTGACTAGATGGAAGTCAATTGGCTAGAAGCAACCACTGCCACTTTTTTCCTCATATATACAGTGGTTTGAGGAACACTGTACTAATTGATTAATCAAATGTAATCAATTAAAGTGGCTTTCAATAAATCGATTAGCAAATACTAGTAAATGCCCAGCTTTAATTACCTATGTCAAAGCACTGGGTTACAATTACAGACAGAAATTTTCTTTCCTCCAATATCACGATTTACAAATAACTTTACAATGTGCTCTTTCGTCCAGCTGTTTCCAGACACACAAGTTAACATTTTCCTAAACTGAATACGTATTTCCAATATATACTTTCCTCACAAAAAGCTTTCTCGACTTCTACTATCCTTTATTGGTGCAAATTTTTGCTCGCCACTAGCCTTGCTTCTCTCCCACTTATTACTGCATACTAACATGCAAATGATCATGCAGCAACCCTCCACCAACAGGAGTGGGACACTATCCCTATCATACACATGTCAATCACTCCAAGATTAGTCATAACTAGCCAAAGCAAAACACACCGAAAGTGGAGAAGATGGGTGGGAAATGTGAGAAGAGGTAAGCATCTATCAGAATTATATTTTCAGGGGAGGAAAATGTTAACTTCCGATCCAATATCTTACTTCCTCTCACAAAAAGCTAGAATCCCATATTGAACTGGTGGAGGGTCATTGAGAAGATGATCCCCCTTTAGATGCACCCAAAGGAAGACCATGATGTGTGATAAGGAATTAAAACAATACACCAGTGGGAGACCACATCACTTCTGAGCCAGGTATACTCTTCGCCATTTAGTAATGCGTCACCAAAATGTAAAGGGCAGGAATTTGGAGGGGCCCAATAAAAATACAGAAATAATAGGATCCCTGGTGTAGATTAGCTAGGGTGCAACAGATTGTAAATGAGAGTTTGACCTCAACCAACACCTGACAGCATCTTGAATTGTACATCAGTTCTGCAGTAGGAAAAGGGTCCTCTACCTTTCACCTCAAAACCAGGTATCAACATGGAAAAAGAGTCCCGTATCATGAACAAATCTCCACATGTATGCACTTCCAACACCGGATCCACAAGGAACCAAAATCTAGCAGATGGTAGGAAGTAGGCGAACCCAGGTGGGTATTCACCTCCAATCGAAAACCTGACAGCAATGGAAATTTTTTGTCCAATACATGGTAGGAGGAGGGTACCTAGCCTTACAAAATTGAAAATCATGTGTCTCGTCCAGCTACAATCAACATGAGATCAACCAGGAACTGACATCCAGTGGAAAACAGGAAGAGAAACCACAAGTTTGGAGTTGCATATTCAGTCCAAAACGTGGCAGCATTGGGAATTTAACATCCAGGAGGAGGGTACCAGCCAAACATGTGAGGATTTATATACCTGGACTGTCTGTGACCAACACCCAATCCATAGGAACCGACATTGAGAGGAAGGTAGACATCTCAGCTGGAGGGGCAAACTACAATATATACATGGCAGAGTGCTACATCCAACAACTGGCAGCATCTGGAATTGTACAACAGGTCTGCAGCAGGAAGGTCGTCACACCATTTACATCCACAGAATTCCCCCACCCTCAAACTGAGTGGTATTGTGCACACTGAGCAGGACAGGCCTTCATGGTCCACCACCCCAGCAGCTAGGAACTAGTAAGTGGCAAGGACTTCCATACTCCACTAGAAGGAGGAAGGAAAAAGGTGTATTGAAAAGTCCAGAGGACCACAGCACCGGAGACAGTGCAATGAGTGACTTGCAATACCATATTTTGAAAAGCAGAGCGATCACATTGATGGAGTGCATCATTCAACACCTGGCAATGTCTGGAATTGTACATCAGGTCCATTATTGGAAGAGCCTCAAATATCACAGATTATCAGAGATGGGCAGTAATCTCTGTCTGCTTTGCTCATGTTAGTCCACGAGTGTATGAACCGGGACAAATATTTATGAAGCATAAGACCACGAGGTATACCTGCAAGTGGTCCTGCGGAACACCCCATCTTAATGGTGGGTGTAATATGACCTGGATAAGTGTTATGACATTGTATTTTGAAACCACAGAGAACACCTTGATTGAGTCAATCAACCAACACCTGGCAGCCTCTAGAATGGTTTATCAGGTCCGCAGTAGGAAGATTCTCAACGTCACAGTTATCTAGCATGTTCACAGGTCATACGGTGAGGATTTAAGACTAATTATACCTGGTCAGGCAACAATCACCCAAGAGTAGGATCCAAATATGCAATAAAGACCACTGCAAAGAAAAATGAGAGGAGTACTTACCACCACAGACAAACAGTTACAGCACTGATGTTGTCTTCCATGGGAAGATGGAAATGTGGAGCCAGGGGCATGGTAAAGAGATGGATCTGATGGAAGAAAAACATGAAAAAAGTGACCAATATCAGGAAAAAGGGAAGAAAATGCAAGGTGAATGAACTTGCAAATTCAACACAGAAGGGTAATGGTAAAAGGATTACAGGAGTGGTGAGGATTTCATTGAAGAAACAAACAGACTTGGAAACCACGGAAGGAAGCAGTATGTGTCATATACCCTTGGAGAGCCCTGACTGGACAAGAGAGGTGGGTGGGATTGGAACAGTCATGAAGGTAGGAAAAAGATGGAACAGAATAGGTTGTGAGACAACAGAGGAGATGAATGGAAATAGAGGACAGATGTACTGAAATCACTTTCAGAATCCATGGATTGACTACAAAGGGCCTCCAAAAGTAGGCAAATTGAAGGAGTTTGGTCCCACTAAAACATCTTGCATGAACCCCAATATCCAGGGGAGAAGAAAACACTAAATAATGACCCAATGGCTCAGTTCAGAGAAGGGCAGGAGCTGAACATGGGAAATGGGTGATAAATACAGAACATAACTAAATAACAAATGCACCAAAGGAGAAAAAGATCTCTGAGCAAGTCCCCCAAAACGACATATAACTAAGAGGCATACTAAGAAGGGGGGAAAAGGATGTCCAAATCCAAAACTGAAAGATCACAGAAAACTGTGTTCTAATTGTTGCATGAAATTGGCCAACTCCTGATGAATCAGAATCATCACTTCATTGGTCGAGAATCATGGTTTCAACATGTTAGACGTGGTTGGTAATACAGCTATCTCAGTAAGAACTGTCATAGTCGTGACCACCCGAATCTGTGAGTGCATAACTCCCAAAATTGAAAGAGGAGTGAAGATAAAATAAAATAAATCGTAACTTTCCAAGAAATAACAAATTAACTGAAGTAGAAATTCACAAAAGTAAAAACATGTGGACAGTTTAATTAGCAAAAATCACATCTAATCAGTAGGACTGCCAATCGGGAAGTGATTAACATGTGTATAATTAGAGATGGTGCTAGTTACGATAGGGGTAGTGCCGCACTTCTATTGGTGGAGGGTTGCTGCATGATCATTTGGATGTTAATATGCAGTAATAAGTGGGAGTAGCAAGGCTAATGGCCAGTGAAAATTTGCATTGATAGAGGGAAGTCCAAGTAGTGAAATCTTTTTGTGATCAGACGTAAGATATTATGTCAGAATTACAGTTAGAGATTAATATATCTATAAATTGAAGTGCACAGATGTAGTGATGCTAAAATAACTGCCACAAACTTGCAATACCACAAATTACAAGAAAAATATTGTGCTAATGTCACACAAAATTCTATCAGTATGCTCTTATAAACTGTTCTTAGTACAAAAACAGGAGAATGCAATATTAAAAATGATTTTATAAATACACATCTTCCACATAGCAAATTTTACTATGAACAATATTATGGAAAACACCACTTACAATACATGTGTGTGTGAATATAAAATAAGGTAGAAAACCAATAACTTAAAATACATTATTTTTTGTCAACAACAAAACGTAGCTTGAAATACCATTTAACCCTCTCGCTCTGGGATCGGTGAATTAAATGACCTGGTGACCCCAAAATGATTATCAAAGTTTCCATACTATAAATTTTAATATGGTTGGGTATCTTCACAAAATTTTTCAAGCTTTTAGTAAACATTACAAGTCTTTTGTACACACAAAAAATATAATTTTTAATGAAGTATTTTTCTAAAAATAAATATCAGTTTCTTTTCAGTAAAAAAATCTAAATTACCTATTTCTTCTTCATAGAATGACTGCAAATTGTCACATGAAACTACAACTAAATAGCTTAAAGCTCATAACAGTATACATATCTTTATACTAATTTTATTGTTTTGCCTTTTGAACCATGTTTAACTAACAGTCCTGCCACACAAATTGTAAATCACTCAGCAAACATGCTGTTCATGTTACCTGATCGAATTACAAAATACACGAGTTGCTTGCGAGTATACCTCATGAAGAATTATTATTATCAATTTTCATTATCTTACCTAATCTAACCAAATAAGTTTTCAATTTTTACATTTTTAGTTACTTTTATGATAATAAATAAATAATTAAGATGAAAATCAAGAAATATGGTACTTACCGGGGTCTTTTCTTTTTCTTTTTGCTGTCAACCGTTGATGAAACTTAAGCCTACCTTGTTATATTAATGATACTACTATACTTAATTTTTTTTAATCTAATTAAATAATGCACTTAAGAATACAGAATAATAACATGTAAAAAAGCAGACAATGTCCTATACCTGTCATAACTTTTCTTGCTTTCTAACTATGCAATAAGAGCCTTTAAAATCTTCAGCTTTCTATTGGTTATAAATAATATAGTCTAAAACATCAGAGAGAACTACTGGCAATTTATGAAAGAAATTATGCGACAGGTGGACATGAGAAGTGGGTCTGATTTTCTAGTTTATATCTCCGTAAACAAACAAGATTGAATGCTATGGAAATTATGCTTTGCCTGAATAATATCTATATTACAAAAACTAATTTATGTTCAATTCCATACTTTTTGGAGAGGTGCTAAATAAGTTAAAGAGGGACGACCTAGAGAACAAATGTCCCAATTCTCATACAAGACAAGACTGAGGATTTTGAAAAATATTTCCAAATAAAATTAGGAACTTAAAACTTATACAATATTCAAATTTGATTTATTAACAACAGTTTGATGCCAAGTTTATTCACATACAATGATAATAAAGTAATTTAATTAAATTTTGAATGTAACTCTTTTTAAAAAAAAAGCCCTGACATGTGCATTTTGACCTGCCTGTAGCGAGAAGGTTAAAATACATGTTTTCCAGATAAAATAACCCAGGTTAATAATTGATCCTTAAAGTTTTAATCATTCTTTCATATTTCTATACAAGATAGCTTCTGGTACATACATTTCCTAATAAAAATAATAATACCTGGTTCTCTGTTTAAAGAATCCTGTGATCCCCCATCATCAGCTGCTTGCAGTGAGACAAATTTCACACTCATTTTGTGTAAACTTACAATATATGTAACATATACTCTATCATAACAATTAATCATTACAAAAAATCTAAGCAAGTTTTGCAATATCCTTGAGAATGATAATTTCCAAGTTCAAAATACATATCAAATAAATGGGTTTTTAATTATTTCAAATTTTTGAAAGATATATATATATAAATATATATATATATATTGTTCACTCTTTATGTGATTTCTGTAAAAGCAAGGTATCTTTTTATCTCTATGAATTTATCATGATATAAAAGACTGTTTAGTTAAAAAGATGTTGATTGATTTGTTTTTGTGAGTCAATATTTTATTACTGTTTAGTTTTGTTATAATAAGAATTAAAAGCAGATGATTGTAGGAAGTATTGTTAATAATTCATTGATGTTGAGACTATTGAACGTCATGTGCAATACATTGACATTGAGAATATAGAAAACAGACAGATGATTGGGTAATAGAGATATAAATAGAGTGAGACAAGCAGGAAGCAGCAGACAGATAATAGCAAAGGAAAGTAAAGTATCGTGGAAGTGATAGTCCTAACGAGTGACATAGGCATAACATTTAACATGTTGGAGTAAGACTAACAGTAGAAAAGAAGATAAGAATTGTAAGTGAATCACACACAGAATAACATTGCAATAGTAATAGATAAAATAGGCTTGTCAACTGAAATTCTAAAGTAATTGAATAGGCCTAAGTGAACCTTTGACAAGAAGAATAGAACTATATATATAGTGTTTATGATATGCCTATAATATCTATAGTTTTAAGAATTTGTTGTACATACGTTTAAGTTGTTCTGAATATATATATTATTTTGAAAACAAGTGAAGTGCGTACTGTTTATTCATCATTGAATTTATCACTAACAACTTACAGACACCTACTGTAGAAGAATCCTAAGCCCAACAAAAACAGTTATATTTATACTATTAAGAAATATAGGTAAAATTTTTTTTCGTTGACAATTGGTAAAGACTTGTGTATTTTTAAATTCCAACAGAATTTAACATTTATTTATATGATTTTGAATAGAAACTGAAAATTTAATACATATATATATATATAAAAATTTAAGTTAAATTCTTCTTGTGCTTAACAGTGATAGTTTTGAAAAAAAAAAACAATTTATGCAGTTGTTTAACCAACTTTTCTCTGTATTTGCTAACCAACACAAAACTAAGTAAGTGCAAACTTCATATTCTATAAATCAGAACTATGTCTGAAGGTAATAGACTTTTAAACTGTATTCTAACTTTACTTTTGGTAGGATTGTAAAACATTATAAACTACCATTTCAATATTACAACATGGATATAACACAGCTAATTAACATTACAATGATCAGGGATATGCAAATGCCAGATCCAGCACCTGAAGGATACCAATATGACAATTGGACATGATAAAGTTCATCATTTCTAGTACTATTAGGAATGCCGATTTTAATAATCACAAACAATTAATGGTAGGTGTGCTTTACCATTACATATACACTGGAAATACATTATTACTGTTGAACCATGTTAAACTTCAAGCTTAACAGCATAACTTCCTCATAATAATGATGTAAGCAATGGCCATGAAACAAGATTTTCTCATTTGCCTGGTGTTAGCCTCTAGTTTATAAATGAATAAGCAAAAGATAGTGGCCCTACAAATCACTCAAAGTGGTTCCAATGTTCATTGTAAGCCCTATGTATCATGAAATTTGGATTGATAAAAGAAAGTTTTAACTGATATCTAAGTTTGTTTTAAACCAGATCTTGGTGTAAAATTAAAACATTCAGATGAAAAAAAAGGCCAAATAAAATTTTATGTTTTAGAAAGACAAGATTTTTCATTACCATTCTTCAACTTCAAAATAAATTCCCTATATTAATTTCCTACCAACCATATTATTGATTTCTGTACAATGACAGCTCATGCTTACAATATTCTAGGACTCATTTCAGAAGTTAAATATTTTGTCATGCTAAATAATTAAAAATATAAAACCATCTTTTGGCCTTGCATATTATTTTTGGATTCTGATTTACTTGTTAGCAATTATACAGTTAAAATAACTCTTTAAAGTGAATTTGCCAGTGGTGTGAAAATTTTGGGAAAATTTCTTGTCCAAAGAACAAAATGCTAATAAAGATCTACTTGCTTCCACCCCATCACATAAAACACAACTCAAAAAGTAGAATATAACTTTTAGAATATTGCTCTTACTTAACAATAAACACATTAAATATAATGCCATTGTTAAGAACAATGTATATTGCATTTTGCATCTATGCTCTTCAAGTATTTTATGGTTTTCAAAATTGAGTCATTAGGATGTTACAGCACACCATATGCAGTCCATATGTAAAAATTGAAAACAGAAATAGTTTACATTAATGCTGCCAAGAACTAAAGTGGTGTTTGACATATTTATATCAGAGTTTAAAACTTTTTGCAATTTTTATTGTGTTATACATTCTTTCAATAACTCGCAGTCAAATGTTACTGGGCTCTTGTTATCAACAAAAGCAATGTAATAATCTAAATATGACTGTTACTGTGTGTGTGTGACTAAGAGTTTGTGAACTAATCAGGTATGTATAATTGTTTATAATAGTTTTGGTTTGAGCTTTACAAGTATGTTTGTGTGTAATTGCTAGATTTTCACTGTTCAGAATTTTGGGGAACTTGTGTGGCTCCCTAGAGAAATCTAACCAGTGTTTTTATAGCAACAGAATGAACAATATAAAAAACTAATTCTAGTTCAAAAGGGAAGTAAAAAAGTTGTCCTGGGCATCAAGCAATACAAATTCTACACCCATTATTAGCATTTTTTGTTGCTTTTAATCAATTATTCAAATGCTTTTTAAACAAATGTTTAAACAATGAATTAGTTGAAATTCAAGTTTCTGTACTTCAGTATAGCTATCACTGTTTTACTCTCATAGCTTTTAAAAGTTTAATAATAATATAAAAACAGTTCAGATGTGTCAATTTTTTCTTCTGTTCAGATCTGATCGAATAGTTATAATAACCTACTTTGTCCACCTTTGATGATATAATTGTTTATATGAAAAATCTATTAAGAATATACCTACTGTACCCACAGATAGAAAACCTTTAATCTGAAGATGAAGTTTTGTTACATCTCCTAGACTAGATTTAAATTCACCAACACTGATGAGATCACACAAAAAGATAAAATAACTGCATTTAATTACAAATATGCATTATTATCAATAAAAATTTAGCCGCAAAAAGTTTTTTTTTATCAATATATATTATTTTCCCCTAACATAAGACATACTGTTCCATATGTAGCTGTGAAGTTACAACTAGCACATGCAGATAAATGAAGTCAGTCATAATCCATCAAAAGGAATTCATGACAATTCATAGCATTCTTGCAGGAACAGCATTCAATGATGAATAGAAAATGACAGTACAAAACTTCTTTAAAGTTAATACTTAACAGTTCCATAATTAAACATGCAAAAAAAGATGTCATACTGTTAGTTGATAGGAATTGTCAGACATTCACTTTATCACACAGGAGAAGAAAGTAATTAGGTTTAGCTTTTTTACTCACTTTCAAAAGAATAGCCCATGATTCCAGCAACAAGGTAGAGAGGCGACACTGAGGAAGGAAGGAAAAGGGAAGACATAATGAAGATGGGAAGAATGATCAGTAAAACAGCACATCTTTTCAGAATCTCCATTACTAGCAAACAACGGGGATTTAGATATTAAGTAGTTGTGAGGGCAGAATATGACTAATCATGCTCAGGTCAATATGTAAACTTAACTACTGTATAATCAGACTGTTACTTCCATAGTTAAACCACAATTTAATAATGCATTTAACAAAACCACACTTACATGTTTGTGTCTTAATTTGTACAACTATTTTACATAAGACCCAAGAGCAAAGTAAAAATATGTTAATATCAGTTTTGATAGAAAACTGAAATTTTTGGTGAGAACTTGTTGCTTACTTGTTTCCACTGGCAAGAAACAAACTTGAATTATGTAAAAGGCAGTTGATAATATTTATTATAAATGCATCATCACTATCAGCACAACTTGCTTTGACATAAAAAAGTAATTATGTGCACTAAATTTTAGCAAAACCAAATAGTTCATTTCCTTTTAGGAAAGGAAAAAATAACAGCACTTTTCTAACCTTCAGCTACATAAAAGGTTTACACTAATAAACAAGCACACTCATGCTAGTTCAAAATAGCATGTATAAATTAAGGTAAATTTTTTAAAGAAAATACATGGGCTACTAGCATTAAGCAGAAGCATTTTGAAACAAACTGCTAACCACAAGCAAAACTATTAATATAGACTTGCATAAAGATGGCAGACAAATTTTAATCATGAAAATTACGACAAATCACCACCATGTATCAAGAATAAACAACTTGTGGATAAAAATTGAGGAAACCACTACCATTACTAACAAAAACAGAATATTATTAGATAAAGAAATATTTTAGTCAGACTGTTATCCTTATTCACCAATATCTTAAAAGAAACTAACAGTAACAAGTAAATAAAATCACAGGCCAACTGACAAGGTAGTAGCCATAACTTTAAGCAGCTTTATAATAGTAGGTATCAAAATAAGTAGTCTACAATTAGCACACACTACTAATTACTACAAACACATGTAATCTGACACTAGCACAAGCATTATAAAGCAAATTGCTATTAGTAAATATAAAAACTTTTAGTTTGACACTACTAACACTCATTTATAAATTACTATTAGCTACCAGCAAGAACTGATATATGTACACTGACACCAACTAACACATACAATTCAAGCTAATTCAAATGCAAAGTATGATTAACTAGCAGAAAAAACAGGCTGTTGCCATTTAGCAATAGTGTGAAAAAAGGTGTTAGGGTTTGGTCGAAGTAGAAGGTTCTGAAACAATGTGTAGTGTCAATAAAACTAATTTTTTTTTAATAATGTGATGCAACATAAGTGACATAACAAAAAGGGAAGAGAAGAGTAACCAGAATGGAGTAACCTTAAGTGTCTGATCTACAGAGACTATGAAAATTTTCAAGTATTGCTTTCAGATGGAAACATTACGGCAACTGTAAAAACTGATATATGTGGAGATGTTGCATAATGCTATCTCGAAATGAAAAACAGTTACACATTCGATTTTACTTTTTATGCTATCTAACTAAAGGTATGTATTATCATGACTTCAAAAATGAACACAACACAGGTTATTAATTACACTTCCAGAAGAAAGCCTTCAAAGGCTGTATGGCAATACTGCATTCTCTACGAATTACTACTTTAGTGCATATTATGTGAATTGTACTTATGGGATTTCAGCAGAATTGGAAGCAAATTAAATATGCCTACAACTTCTACATCAGTAACATCAACAAAGTTAGAATCCTCGGATTAAACATAAGACTACAAACAGAACAGTCAAGAAAAATAAGCATCACATTTCATATTCATATAGTTTCTCTGAAAACGATTTTATGTTTAAAACAACATTTGTTCACTTCCCACTTGATAGAGCTTGTGTTATTTTTATTTCCTAACTTGCTCCTCTCTCCTTTTCAATATACAAAAACTGTAGATGTAATGAGAATGAAAGAGAAAGGTCTCTTAAATAGCTCTTAACACCTAGTTTTATTGGCTGTCATTTTTTTTAACCATACATTTCCAATTGGTTCAGCTATAGTGAAATCTTAATTAAATACCTTCATTATTTCTCTAATTCTCACTTTAATACATGTTCTGTGCCTTGACTCTTCTAGATTTTTAACATTCACTTATTTAAGAAAAGAGGAATTAATCTTTTAACATGTTTTTACAAAAAAATGAATCTTTGTCACTAGGTTGTTAGTCTTGTAAATTCATGTCATTTTTTTAAAATTTGATTTAAATATTTTAAAAAAGATTTCAAAAATTTAGATTGTTTTATTAATCATAAAAGTTAGTATTTTGCAAGTATTAAGTCACTTTTCTAAAGTAAGTGGCAACAGCTAATATAACCTATTCAAAATACAGTATGCTTTGAAAACCAGTACAATTTACCTTAAACAAAGGTTTAAATAAAATACTACAAAAAACAATATCTTAAACCATCACACAAAGGTGGCCAAAAGGCTTTAATATTTTTAAAAGGGACATTTGTACCTTTTAATGGAATTATTTCTTGGAAAACAAACAAACAAACAGATATTCTAAAGCTTCTGAAATACTGCAACATAGCCCAATAATTTTTGCAATGTAAAAGAATATATTAACATCACTCGGTTAACTTACATAATAAATTTTTCTTTCTACAAGTTTTGAAAATTCAGTTAAAAAACCATGCATTTTTAAGTGTAATATGTATGCTAGGATAGGAAGAAAATTATTTTTTCAGTTGAGCAAAAAGAAATGTAGCAGAAAATTTGTTAGTAAAAGAGAAACCCAAAAGCAGTGTTTGTACCCTCATCCAAACTGGTACGAGAAGCATGGTGTCCCACTGGAATAGAGGGTCCCCTCCTTATATGAGATGGAAGGAGATCAGGAGGGGCAGGTTCTGGAGGTGGGGGATAGGTCCCATAGCCTTTAGAGAAAAGAAATATTAGTTATAATCATTTTAAAGAATATCAAAATAGAAAACACTGCCATTAACATGTTCTGAAAGAAAGATACTTCTTCTTAGATATTCATTAAATATTTTCCAAAGATACTGGTAGATGAACATTAAGGATACAAATTAATCTAATGTAGTTTTAATAATGCTCTTTTTCATGTTACTCTGGTCAAGACATCAAAATGCACTATACTTTGTTGAAAGTTGAAACTGGTAGGTGTTAGTGCTCATACCACTACTTTCCATTTCAGAAAGGGAACCACCACCAAATATCTCTTTGGGCAGCAGAGGTGGGGTTGTGAAAGTATTTCAAAAATACCAATTTACATACTTTGTGACACTTGTTCCTTAATAACTGAAACAAATAATGCCAAGATATTGCACAATTTTACATCAAGTATACCCACTAATAAAATATATTGTCAATTTCAAAAGGCATTACAAGCATTACAAAAGGTACAAGCATAAGTTCAAAACAGGGAGGCTGTTTTTTTCAGGATTCTGTATTTTGCATTCCTAAAGCAAGTCCATTCCTTCACTTCTCCTTGTGAACTTATTGCTGTATGGACAGTGTTATGCAAGAAGAATCTCTTCAGCCTTCACTAACAACTGCACAATTCCTTATGTTCTACATCAGGGTTTCTCAACCTTGGTTCCACTGAACCCTAAGGTTCTGCAGACTAGTTTCAGGGGTTCCACAAGAAAAAATCTCTAATGGTAGTAATATAAAAAAAAAGAAAAAAAGCTGGGACTCTTCTGTAACTATCACAATTTGTCTGGCTCTCTAAGTGATAAAAAAATAAGGCAATTGATTGGTTGAAATCTAGGCTTTCTATTGGTTATAAATATAACAAGGGAGGACATCAGGGAAACCTATTAGCAAATTATAAGAGAGAGAATGTGACAGAAGGGAGCTGAATTTTTTATTGGATTGCTCTTTAGACAAATAAGATTGAAGGATATAAAAATTTTCTATCACATCAGCTAGACGATATTATAGAGACTATTTTATGTCAAATATTTTAGTTCTCGGAGGGGAGGGAAATAAATTAAAGAAGAGGCAATGACTAGGAACAAGATGTCACAATTCTCACACTACAGGATATTGGGGTTGTGTTTAATATTTTTTTATAAAATTAAGAACTTCAAACTTATATAATATTAATTCTAACATTTAATCTGATGTTATGTTTCAATTTCACTTACAATAATAATATAATACATATGTGTTTCTCCTATATATATATATGTATACATACTGGGTGATTAAAAAAAAAATGTTTACACTTCTATGGGATTTGCTGTTACAGGGGTCTGATGATGGTAACAAGGTTGAGTTTAGAGAAAACAAGGAGTGTTGCAGCCTATATGGAGGTTCACAATCGTACAAAGGATGTTTCATCGATACTTCAAGTCTGACCCACCTTCCAGATTGACTATTTATCAAGTGCACAGTAAGTTCATCAGAACTGGATCAGTCGCAGACAATTACAAAGGAAATAGTTGTCATCCAACAACAGGAAGGTCTTCTGCAATGTTTGATCGCTTTCAGACATGCATACATATTTTTGGAGAGCAAGTTGAGACTGTATGAAACATAGAAAATAAAGAATATAAACCCATACAAGTGTTAACATTTTTTTGAACCCCCCTGTATATATATATATATATGTGTGTGTGTGTGTGTGTGTGTGTGTGTGTGTGTGTGTGTGTGGTGTGTGTGTAGTAGTACGTACGTATAAGTAAATTAATTTATAATAATATACTAGTAGTAGATAGTAGTAGGTAGTACGTAACCTCTTACTACAAGTAGTGTT